ACAATGCACGCGTGCGCGCGCACACACACACATACACACACTCACTCTGAGCAGCCAAGCTCAAGTAGGTCCTGCTGGTGTTCCCCACACTCTCCAGAAAAAAATAGTTGAAACAAAAGTAAAAAATAAAGAAAAAAAAACTTAGAAAACAAAATAAAGCATTTAAAACAAAACAAAAAAAAAGTGGTCTAAAGTTTAAGTGGCCTTGGAGATGGCCCAAAGGGCTGGTTTTGCATTCATGGGGCTCAGACTTTGATCCCAGGGAACAAATATCCTCCCTCCAACCCCACAGCACTTCTAAGACCAGCCTTGCTAGACCTCTGCCAGACAACAAACAAAGGGTTAAAACAGACACAGGAAAGGAAAGAACAGAAAAAAAAAGAGTAAAAGTAGGCACTGGAAATATTTTTTTGGTTCCTGGTACGCTCTGCATCCATGAACCCCCGCCCCCACCTCCCAGTCTAAGATCAGTTAGCATTTTGTGAGCTTTTCAGACTTAACTTAAGCCTGCTCAAGCGAATGTCTTTTTGTCCTTCACACAAAACAGCATATGTCTTACTCTGCTTTGTCCCTTGGTTCTCTTCTTTCCCTGGGCATCTTTTCCAGATCAGTGCACTGAGAGTTCATCCTTTGTTACAGCGCCTTGCTACTTCTTCCTTTAGATTTCAAGCAAGGCAGCAAGAATAATACCATACAGAGACATTATTTCACACCTCTCCAAGCATATCTGAGGAAGAAAGGACTATGCATTTGTAATTTTGGTATGAATGTCCAGAAAGATTATTTTTGTTTCTACAGCCTAAGTTATGGATGAGAGAACCCAAGTATTTACTTTTTGGAGATCTGTCCAGAGGAGCTCTCTGTGCTCAGGGATCAGTGCTGGCAGCCTGAGATACAGAGTGTATGAGATGCCGGGGATTGAGTGGGGGTCTGTATGCAAGGCATGTACCCAGACCCCTGCACTATGCAAACCCTGCAGCCCTCACCAGAAGGCAGTCTCCAGCCTGGGATGACTTCTTTCTGCTAAGTCACACCTCCATGCCTTTGCCTATTGTTCCCTCCTCCTGCCCTGCCCTCCTGTCTCTGGAAAATTCTGACTCCTCCTTTAAGACTCTGCTTAAACGTTGCCTCTCTGGAGGCTTCCTTGACCCTCCCTGGTAGAACCGGTCCCTCCCTCCCCCCCACCCCCCTTTGGTGCCATCCCACGGAACCGGGACAGCTCGCCTGCAGAGCATGTTCTGATTACCTGGTGGGGTAACTGTCTGTGGACATGCTTCTGGCTCTCCTAGCTCCCACCCAGACCCAGCCCACACTTCGAACCACCTGTGACTAAAATTACACTTGCTGGAGAGACAGGGAGAGGCCACAGGTGTGGGAGTCTGACTGGGTCATGCCTTCCTCCAGCCTCTCCTCCCCTCCTGTGCCTGGACCCTAGAACCCTAGGAGAGAGTGCCCTCGCCTACAGAGTTCAGAGGCAACCCCCACTGGGCCCTCCTACTGAAGGGCTTGAAATGTTCTGGAGCCAGAGATGGTAGTTGCATAAAATGTACTCAAATGCCAGCAACTTGTTCACCTTATTTACTTTCTTGGGGTGGTTGTTTTGGTTTGGGGACACACCCCACGGTACTCAGGGATGACTCTTGGTGGCTGGTACTCAGGGGACTCTATGTGGTGCCAGGGATCCAATCAGGGTTGTCTGTGAACAAGGCAAGCGCTTTAACCCCTGTATTCTCTCAGGCTCAAACAGTTCACTTTAATGTGGTTAATTTCATGTGATGTGAATTTCACCTCAGTAAGTTATCTGACTTTTGTCTTGGGCCACATCCACCGATGCTTAGGGGTTACTCCTGGCTCTGCACTCAGGTGTCACTCCTGGTAGTGTTTGGGGAACCATATGGGATGCCGGGGATGGAACCCATGTGCAAGGTAAGTGCCCGCCCCACTGTGATATCTCTCTGGCCCCAAATTATGTTTTTTTTTTTTTTTTCAAAAGAAGCAGCCTCTCTCAGTGGTGGGTAGAGAGGTTTGAGAGGCTCCTTCAAGTTTCTCAGCTATGAAGTGCTGAACAAATACTAGCTGGGGGCTACCAAAGGGGAGAATGGCCTGGGGGTCAGCAAGTGTGGCTTTGCTGCTCTGCCCAAAGTAGTAATGATATGATGAGAAGATACTATAATAATTACAGCTAGTACTTCTCCAACACTTAACATGAGCCTGTACTTCAGGTACTGCACACCTCCAACACACTAAACTTCCACGACCAAGAGTCTGATCAGATCCTAGTTACAGATGAAGAGACAGAGGAAGACGTCCTCTGTCTCTGACGAGAAGTGGCAAGCTTGAGCCTAGGCAGTGGGAATCCTATTATTTTTAGCCCCCAGGGCCTAAACCATGTGCCATTTAGTTAAACTAATTTTGGGGGGCCAGGGGGCATAGACCCAGCAGTGCTCAAGGCGTACTCCTGGCTCTGTGCTCAGGGATCAGTCCTGTTAGGGACCATATGGGCAGCAACCTGGGTTGACCAAATACAAGACAAGTGCCTGACCTGCTGTACAATCTTTCATGTTTCTTGTAAGCTAATTTAACTCACAGGGGGGTGTTACTGTTATTTTTCCTTGGGGGTGGGGGGTGAAAAGGAACATACCTAGAGGTGCTCAGGGACTACCTGCAGATCTGGGGTTGTGAGACGTGGGGGTGATGCTGAATCTAGTGCTCCTGGAAACGGTCTCCCATGTGTAAAGCATGTGGTCTAGCCTTTTGAGTTACCTTTCTGTCCTGCTATTCTGATTTTAAAAAATTCGTCTCGCAGCAATTCTGTATTCATTCATTGCCTCATAGTCCTTCCCTATGTATTTTCATGTTGGTTTACATAGATTTTTTTTGGGTGTGGAGGCTCACTGGTCGATGCTCAGGGGTTATTCCTGGCTATGCATTCAGGAATCATTCCTGGAGGAGGTGCCTGAGGGAGGAGATGGTTGCTGGGGATAGAATCCAGGTCTGCTGCATGCAAGGCAAATGCCCTACCCACTGAACTATCTCTCTGGCCCCAAGTTCACATAGCCTTGTCGTGATCTCATCTGTATTTTTTTTTTAAATTTTGGGCCACACCCAGAGATGTTCAGGATTTATTTCTGGCTTTGTGTTCGGTAACCTCTTGGAGGGTTCAGGGGACCATCTGTGGCACCTGGGATGCAACCTGGGACGACCTCCTGCCTGGTAAGCACCTTCCTGACTTTTCTCTAGCCATTTTAATTTTTCTTTAAGCTTGCACGTAATACTTGAGTACACTTTATCTCTTTGAGAAATAGGAAGGAGATTGTGACTATAGCTGACTTCCCAATACTCATAAAAACGTGTGCCATCAGAGCCTGGGTGAGCAGGTGAGCAGGAACGGGCCAGTTTTGTTGTCCTGGTATTGAGTAAAATCTCACCGTACATCATGTTCCACTTCTTGGTTTTTAAAAAAAATCAGCATCGGATCTAGTGCAGATCTAGTTTGTTCTAACTTGACTTCCTATACTGTGCATGGTGCTGTTTATTTAACCCATTTCCTGTTTAATTAATCCACATCTTCCACAGAGCTTCTCTAATGCAAACATTTATTTTTTATTTTTCTGTTGTATTTTTTTTTTTCTGGCCATACCCGGTGATGCTGGGGACTACTCTGGGCTCTGCTGGGGGGGGTCACTCACTTCGGTGCAGTTGGCTACCTAATAAGGCAAGCATCTTGCCCTGGGTACGATCACTTGGGCCCCTAAACACAGACATTTGGACACAGGATGGCAGGATTTCTGTCATCGGCGCCCCGAAGCTGAAGGGCTGTGACAGGGGTTTGGACACCGCGGATGTCGAGGATGTCGCGAGATGACGCTCAACTGCGGAAGGCGGCTGCAAAGCAGCTTTTCATCACTTTGGACCAAACTTTCTCCCGTTATCCGACCTTCCTCCCGACCTGTCTGTCAGATCTGAAGGTGGGGCGGGGGTCGGACCCAGTTGACAGACGAGGAAACTGCGTCCTGGGGCTGCGACTGCACCCAGAGGGGTCGGACTCCGCGGGGGTCGCGCCCCGGCGGGAACTAGCCCTGTCCGCGGCGAGTCCCTGGGAACGTCTGGTCATCTCCGGGCCTGGCAAGGCGGGAAGGAGGCCCCGGTCCAGGATCCGGAAGCGTCGGGGCGGGTCGCCAGGTGCCCGATCCCGGCCCGGCATCCTCGTCAGCGGTCGCCCCGCCAGCGGCTCCCAGACCCGGCGTCCCCGTCAGCGGTCGCCCCGTAAATGGCGCTCCCGTCAGTGACCGCCCCGTCAAAGGCGCCCCGTGAGGGGTGCTATCGTCAGTGACCGCCCCGTCAGTTGTGCCCCCGTCAGTGGCGTCCCGACCCGGAATGGAGTCCCCGTCAGCGACGCCCGGGCCCGGCGTCCCTCCCCGTCGGCGGTCGCCCCGTAAACGCGCGCCCGTCAGCGGCCGCCCAGTCAGCTGTCGGCCCGTCAGCGGTCGCCCCGTCAGAGGCGCCCCGGCCCGGCGTCCCCGTCAGCGGTCGCCCTGTCAATGGGGGGTGCCCCCGTCAGTGGCCGCCCGGGACCCGTCAGCAGTCGCTCCGTCAGAGACGCCCGGGCCCGGCGTCCCTCCCCGTCAGCGGCCGCCCCGTCAGCTGTGGCCCGGTCAGTGGCGGCCCGACCCGTAGTCCCCAGCAGCGGCGCCGCGTCCCTCCCCGTCAGCGGCCGCCCCGTCAGCGGCGCCCCCGTCAAGGGCCGCCCCGTCCCGTCAGCGGCGCCCGGGCCGTCCGGCGGGCCGCCGGGGCGGAGGGAGCGACGGCGCCGGCGCCGGCAGGCGAGGCCCCGCCCCCGCGCCCAGGCCAGAGCGGCCGAGCGCCGAGCGCCGAGCCCGCAGAGCGCCGCCCGCGGCCGGGCGGGGGAGCGCGCGCGCGGGGCCCGAGCCGGCGGCGCCGCAGGCCGGGAGGAGGAGCGCCGAGGGACGGCGCCGCGCCCGCCCGCCCGCCCGCCCGCCCGCCCGCCGCCGGGGCCGCCCGAGCGTCTGTGGGTCGCGGGCGCTGGGGCCGCCATCTTAGATGGCGGGAGCGCGCCGGGGCCGGGCGTGAGGCGGGAGGCGGCGGGCCTGTCGGGGCGCCCGCGGCGGGCCGGCCGGCCGGGCTTTGGGGCGCGCGTGCGACGATGCGGGGGCCGCCCGGGGCCCCGTCCCCCGGGCTGGGCACGCGCCCGATGTGACCGCCGCCGCCGCGGGGAGGAGGAGCGGCCGCGACGCCGCCGCCGCCGGACGACGGGACCCGGAGGGGCGCGGCCCCGCCAGGTGGGCGGCGGGGCGCGGGGCGGGCGGGCGGCCGGGCGGGGGGCGGCGGCGGCGGCGGGCGCGGCGAGCGGAGCGGGGCGCGCGCATCCCCGCCCGGCGGCGCCCGGGACCGGCGGCGTCACCCCCAGGTGGGCCGGGCCGGGCCGGGCCGGGCCGGCGCGGCGGGGCTCCCGGCGCCTGACACCCCACCCCCACCCCCGGCGCGGGGCCCGGGCAGCGGCCGGCGCCCCCCGCCCGCCGGGGGGCAGCGTGGGCCGCGCGGCCCCGGGATGCGGCGCGGCGGCGGGGCCCATTCATTGTTCTCTCGGCGGGGCCCCGCAGGGTGTGCCCGGCCGAGGGCGCCGCCGGCGGGCGGGGGGCGGGGGGTGCCCACCCCCGGCGTGCCCTCGGGCCCTCGCGCCCCCCGCCCCCTCTGCGCCCCGGGGTCTGCAGGGCCGCGGCCCCGGGATGCGTTTGGGGAGCGTTGGCAGGTAACCGGGGGTGCCGCGGGGACAGGTGAGCGGGGTCGCAGGGGCAGGAGCCAGTTTGGGCTTTCGGTGGATGCCATTTGGAGTTCTCTCAGTTGCCCTTTTTTTTTTTCCTTTTTTTAACTTTCTTGCTCTTGAACTTTCTTTCCCCTTCTTGATGTTCACGCCGATCGCGATGGAAACGGGTTGCGTTGCGCAGGTTTTTGGCTTCGATTTTGCACTTAGGCCAGGGTGAATGGGTTGGTACCTGGGGGATGCTTGCAGCCCAGATGCTGATTTTGCAAGTGTCCCGCCTGCTGATGCGGTGTTAGAAGCGGTCTTTGGCCGTGCAAGTCCTGTCCCCGGCCACATAGAAGTTGGCTGGTTATATAGACCACAGAGAATGCGAGTGTTTTCAGTTTAGTAACAGTTTCTAGATAGTGAGGCGTTTCTTTAGATTGATTCCCTGGATTCCAGTTACGATTGTAAGGTCTTTCGCTCTGGAAACGTAATTCACACCTAAGATAGCTGTGTTGTTCTGATTGATCTTTTTGAAGAGCTAAAGTGTTTCCTAGGATGTTAACAGACTTTAAGGTGGCGGTTCGGAAATGTCTGCTAGGATGATTTATGTATCACTGAAAATCGTTAAGATTAATTTGGCTTTTGCCTTTACCGCTTCGAGGGCTGAGCATTTTAATATGCAGCAGAAATATTTGACCCAGTTGAACACTGGATCCTTGGGAAAATAAACCTGTTACTGGTTCCATTGTAAAGGCCTCTCTATTTGGGATGTAGTGTTGGTGATTATGAATTGTACTGTATTGCTTAGTCTTATACAGTCTTGTCAATAATGTGTGTGTATGATCTTCATAGTAGAATATTTGAGTGAAATGTAGTGGGACATTTTATGGATTTTGATTTAGCTGAAGAAAACTAGATTAAGTTGACCATTTATGATAAAAAGCATCTGAAAGATCAAATGTAGATGGTTATACGTCAGATAGGACATTACAACTATCCTGAAAAGAGCTGCTTTCACCTTTAAACATGCCACATACAAAGGGCTTTGTTTTGAAGATTAAATAACTTAGAAATTAAAATGTCATTTTCTGAAGTACTCAATTACCTGTTAAATGAAAAATGCATTTAATAACTTCAAATTACTGTTTCAAGTAGTTTTTGTAGTAATACTTGATTCTTTTGCATTTAAATGTCAGGTAAAAACTTTCGTAGTATTTCACTACTTAAATATCGAGAAAACTTACCGGAGGGAGTATATATTGTTTTTGTTTCAGGAGTATAATAGGCCTTACAGAATGAGGTCCTGGGAGGAGCTTGTTAGCCAGACAGCATGCCTTAATGTTGACCTACAGAAGAGAATTCTAAGTACTGCTTCTGAAAGGCAGTGGACTTATTTGAGGGAGGTGGGAAGGATTATTCAAACCACTAAGATGGTTGAAAAATATTTTGAAATTTATTTCTTTTAAAATTTATTTTTATTTTTTAGGGGAGCTGGAGAGATAGCACAGCAGGTAGGGCGTTTGCCTTGCATGCGGACGACCTGGGTTCGATTCCCAGCATCCCATATGGTCCCCTGAGCACCGCCAGGAATAACTCCTGAGTGCAGAGCCAGGAGTAACCCCTGTGCATCGCCAGGTGTGACCCAAAAAAAGCAAAAAAAAAAAATTCATTTTTTAAAATCCATATGTGGTGATGCTCAGAGCTTAATTCCTGTCCCTGTACTCAGGGTTCACTCCTGATGGGTTTGGGGGACCATATGGGGTGCCATATTGCTCCAGCCCTAAGATTTTCAGTTTATGGGACTGGGTATATGACCTGCCAGTTGTAGGGCACAAACTTCACATGCTTTTAGGACCCTAGGCTTGATCCCTGGTGCAAAAAAAAAAAAAAAATGCCTTAAGGTGCAAAAATGAATAAGTTCAAAATTTGATACTTAATATTTGTGTTATAGCAGTATTTTTTTTATATAGGGTGGAACTACTTTCCCTGTAAAATTCATGATAGTAATGATTGGGTTGAGTATATTCTTTCGAAGTTGTGAGTAAAAAATTCTTGCTGATGATTTTACATGTTGTGGTTGAATCATCTTGTTCCCTTCATTTCTCCTGGAATTACTTGGGTTGCTCTCAATGGTTTTAGTAGTTAACGTCAAATCTTCTAAAATTACTCCTAGCTTAACCAAGGAAAATGTCAAGTGGGTGTTGTTCCTTTGTTATTGGTTTTGGCGTAGGCTATCTGGAGTCTTTTTGGCAGATCACACACACAAAGTGTGTTAATTACTTCACATTCCAATCAGTATACATAGTATTTCTTGAGGAACACTTGACACATAGTTTTATTTTTAGACTAGATTCTAAGGACTTAAACTGGGTGGGGATTAATAATCTGAAAAGAAAACTTTAGATATTTTAAAATCTTTAATTTTAGGTTATTTACATTTTTGGTTAAGAAATGGAAAACAACAGGCAGTGGCAAAATTTAGGGGAACCCCTACCTATCTAACTGCTTTGGAGGTCCTTCCTCCTCTTTTTTACTTGAATTTCATTTATTCTCATTCAGTAGCAAGAGCATGCGCGCCCATTCTCTCTCTCTCCACCCCCTTCCCTCCCTCCCCTCCCCCCTTTCTCCCTTCCTTCCTTCCTTTCTGGTTTTTGGGCTTTACCTGGTCATGCTGAGGAGTAACTCCTGGCTTTACATTCAGCGTCACTCCTGGTGGTGCTCTGGGGACTGTATGGGATGCCAGGCCCACTGTACTTACTGTCTCTTCAGCTCTGCAGTGCTCAGGAAGTTTCTCCTGGCTCTGCGCTCAGGAATCACTTGTGGTGTGCTGGGAGACCCTATGGGATGCTGGGCATTGAACCAAGGTGGGCTGTGTGCAAGGCCTTACCTGCTGTACTAGCTCTGGGCCCCCCGTAAGAGTATTTTTTTACTGTTGTAGTCAAGCTGTCGTCTTCTGTTTAGTGTTTATGTTTTGGGGCCACTTCCTGGCAGTGCTGGTGTGGGCTATTCCTGGTGTGGTACTGTGATTTACTTCTGGCGGTGCTGGGGTTCCTTGTGATCTCTGAGCCATCTTTGCTAGCCCCAAGTGTTTCCCTTTCTTCAAGTGTATCTGTAAGTTTGAGTTAGAGAGAGAGAGAGAGAGAGAGAGAGATCGATCTGATGTTTCAGTCACACCTGACTGTACCCAAGGGCACCTCCCCACTCTCTGTCTGGTCCCTCCCAGCAGTGCTGAGGGGATCACGCGGGGTCGACCACACCTTGAGGTAGTGCTGAGCTACTCCTGGCTCAGTTTTGGGATTGTTCTGCTGATGCTGGGGACCATGTGGTGCAGGAGAGTGAACCAGGGCCTCTCTGTCTCTCTGGCGCTTGAGAGTTCGTTTTTTACCTGGACATTTTGGAATTATTCTTTGCAATTGTGGGTCGCTTTTTTGTGTGTGGGGGCAGTGTGTGTACATGTTGTGGGGGATCAAACCCACGGCCTTGCACTCAAGGAATACACTCAACCACTGAGCCACGCCCTCAGCCCTCATTGCTTTTAACATCTCTTAGGTTTGGAACTGATGAAATCCTGAGCTTTCCCCTTGGAAGAACATAACCTATCCTCTTCAGCAAATCCCAGTCAGAAGCTCAGGGTTTTTGAGAGGCCATTTCCCTCCTTCAGATAGATGATTCAAGTTTAAACTCCTTTTCTTTGCATTTCACAAAGTCCGTTCATAATCGAAAAAGCTGGAGTGAGTTCAGGTTGTTAACAGTAAAATGATTAAACTGGTGCACTCTTTTTAATGGGCACTAGGCTTTTCATTATGGCGCGTGATGCAGTAATGACATGGAAAATGCGGGACATAAAATTATGCATCTGGAATGATAAGTTGTATGAAAAAGTATAATGGAATATTATTTAGTAATGAGAAGAAACAGTGTATGGAAACTTTTTCCAATGTATGTAAACATGGCAAGCACAACATTAAATGAAGACCAGTTAGCGGAGAACAGATGTGTATGTTTCGAGGGGGGTGGGCACCTGGCAGTGTTAGGGGTTCTGCTCCTGGAGGTGCCTGGGATCCACGCAGTTCAGGGGCTCCAGCACAAACCTGCGAGCAGAGCACCTCCTCAGTCCGGTGCTGTCTCTCGGGCCCTGGAAGAGAACACGTTTTCAGATGCTGTCTCTCTCTACAAATTGTTCACATCAAATGCTGTCTCTCTCTACAAATGTTCACATTGAACACGTTTTCAGATGCTGTCTCTCTCTACAAATTGTTCCCCACTTCTGGGGTGGGGAAACGGCTCAGGGCAAGAGCGTGGTGCAGCTTGATATGACGGGGCGCCATGCTGAAGTCTGGAACCCCGGCACTGCCAGGAAGAGCCCCCTGATCACCTGGAGTGCCTCTGAACCCCAGCAGTGGTCCAGAAACTTAAGAATGAAAGAATGGGTTTCTGGGGTCAGCAGTGCTGGGAAACCCCCTCCCCCGCAGAAGGAATTGAAAAAAAAAAAAACCCAAGTTTTTCCAGGATCTGGAATGAGAGGGGAATGGA